AAATGATATTGTTGTATAGTAATGTATATTTTTATTTATTTTTTTCTGTATTTAGTGCAAGCACTAGATTTTTATTTAGTATTTAAAAAAAAAAAAAAATTCTATGGGTCACAACCTAAAAATCGAGCAAAGGGACAAATGCCCTAAAGCATTGTCTTTGAGATTTTTATTTTCACTTTTACATAGTGTTGTATTCTTTGATATGTTACATTTTAGCTTGCACCTACCTCGTTGTAAAAAAAAAAGTGAAAACAAAAAGCGGCCGATTAATATAAAATCCATTTATTAACTTTTTTTAAAGTTTAAAAAAAGGAATTAAACTACAAACTTATTTTTTATCTTATTTGGAAAACTTTTTAAAACAAATAGGTAATATAATACTTATTAACTTATAATCTTATTAAAACAAGTATAGTAATGTCAGGTAATATTTCATTGTTCAGTATCCTGCAAACCATTTTTATTTTTGGTGAGGGGCAATGTTACAGGATTTAGCGTGCAATTTATTTAAAAGGTAATTTTCAATGTAGCTGTACTATTGCATCTTTGGCAACATTAAATATCGATAAGGTAATTTAAAAAAAATTACCAATTGGATTTTTGTTGGCAGAAGAATGATGGAAGTCGGCACAAGTTTGCTACATTAACTTAACAAAAAATTACTTTTTGTAGTAAATTTCACCATTAAGAATAAGTGTATTAGAGGTAGTGGGCAGAAGATGGTGTGAGGGAGGTGGTTGTGTCTTACATTTTTTATCTTACATAATTATTGTATTTTATGTAAACGCGTTGTCCATAAAAATAAAAAGTCTCAAATCTCTATATCATTTTCCTGGGCTGATTTGAAGCATAGATTGCAGTCGCAGATTTAACTCCCCAGTAAGTGGTCTGTGAAGGTTCTCATTCACCCAGGTCATGGTACATCTGTAAAAAAATAAAAGGCAACTGGACTTGCATTTCATTTATTATTTACAGATCCCTAGTAAGTGATACAATCCAGAAGAGCTATTATTTCCCAAGTTAGTCACATCAATGAATAAAAATATATAATATTTTAAAAATATATATGTAAAAATATAATATAATGAAAAAAAATGCTCATAGCTCATGCATTGCATTTCATTAAATTGTGCCCCCGAAAGCCTTTAAAATCTAGTGAACCCCATTATTTAAAATGTTATTTTATTTAAAATCATTCAACCATGCCCCTGAAAGCCTCAAAAATCTAGTGAACCCCATTATTTAAAATGTCATTTTATTTAAAATCATTAAGTCTCTATCCTGAAAGCCTCAAACATCTAGTGAACCCCATTATTCTAAAATGTATTTTATTTAAAATCATTAAGTCACTATCCTGAAAGCCTAAAAAAAAAAAGTGAACCCCATTGTTTAAAATGTTATTTTATTTAAAATCATGAAGTCACTATCCTGAAAGCCTCAAAAAACTAGTGAACCCCATTATTTAAAATGTTATTTTATTTCACGTTTTTAAATCGCGCCCCTGAAAGCCTCAAAATCTAGCGAACCCCATTATCTAAAAATATATGAGGACAAAGTGCTAATAAAAGCTAAAGGTTGTTCCAGAGCGAATTCAATCGAAACTCCAAACTTCTTGTGCCCTGTTACCGCCTTTGAAATACATATCATTTGATTTGCACTGTCTTAAAAAAAAATAACTCAGCTTACTTTAGCATAGTTTAGGTACAAATTTTTGGTAAAGCACCAAAACGACCGGCACAAAACAAGCAAATAATAAAAATAAATAAAAAAATAGCAACAAAAAACAAGCACCAGGACCCAGGTGAAGCACCTTTGAGATAAGGCAATGTGACATTTTAATGTGTTGTCCTATCTCATTTCTTGCCGCTTTGGACAAACCTGCGCTTCAGGTCAGGCGAGGCTGGTGCGAGATGAGCTAAAATAGCTGAAAGGAAGTTGCATCATTCATGTCTACTTGGACTTCATAGAGTAATAGTAGGAAGAGAACACGTTTCTTTAACCTGGCAATGTCTGTGGAGTGTAAATAATTCAGTGAGAGATACATACCCCAGACCAGGCGAATGGAAGTATTTGAAAAGAAGTCATTTAGGTTAACGTTTAAAGTTGAGTAAAGGGGACTGCTTCTGAGTTTTATAACTTTATAAAGAATGAATATATCAGAAATAAGAGTCAGGTGACCAGAATTCCCCATAAGTGATTTTAAAAAAATGGTAACAGAGTCACATTTGTGTCGCTTACTGCCTTTTAGGTTTTTGCATGAATGAATCATTAAATACCTACATGGTGTAGAGTGAGTAAAATTTTGAGCAATGTTTTTAAAGGAGCCCCTGTCCCACCGCACTATTGGAGTATTTCATATTTAATCAGAAAATACATAGCTGTGACTGTTCTTTATCCGCTGTCCTAATCAAGCATCCAGAATCATTTTTTTTTTCAACTACTCACATTTTTTTTTTCTATGATTTGCAATGTGAAGAATTTTTTTTGCTTACATTAAAGTACTAAAACATTAATTTTAAATTTTAAAAATCCTATATATGGAGCATAGTCTATGCAGTGGATATACCCTGTTATAGAATGCAATATTAGCTGTAATATTATTTTTCACGTAACAATATAATATATTATCTGTAAAAAAAATAATAAGTCAAGGCAACTGGACTTATTTTGCCTTGACTTATTTTTTAAGTCATTTGCATTGACTTATTTTTTTTAATTTTTTTTTACAGATATACCATGACCTGGATGAATGAGAACCTTCACAGACAAGATAATATATAGACTTTTTCTGTATTGTTTAAATGTGCCACTCTGTTCACTATCATTTAGTTTAATTCTTTCTTTTAATTATTTAACTATTTCTCCAAGCAGATTGGATGTTATCATTTACCGAGTGAAATTTAGCTATAGTGCAATTTAAAATGAGTAAAAAGTAACAGAAATACTAGAGATTACTGAACTCTTCCACAAAAAAGATATGTAAACTAAGAAAGAAAGCCTAAAATAAAGACATATTATAATGCTCAACATTTTGAAAACATTTTTAAAAGTTAAAAAAACTTTGAAAGCAAATTTTAAAAGTTTAAATTCAGAAATCTGTTATTGTTATAATAATAAAAAAAAACAATCAAGAAAGTTTATAGTTTGATTCTTTTAGGGTAACCCCCATTAAGAAATAAATGTTTAAATGGATAAATTAATATATTTTTTTATTCCTGTTTTATATATATATATAGAAGTTTGCCTTTAGCATAGGATTATTTGTTTTGGTCTTTTAGTTTCTTTTATTTATCAATTATCAGAATCTCTCCTTTTTTTTTTTTTCCTTGAGTTGCTGTGAGAGTCAGGCAAGCGTATCCAATTAACAGACTAATTCATTTAGATCCTGTTTATTTAATTGAAATCTTTTGTATAATGCAAACCCCTGGAGATTGGCGTTGGTTTTAAACAAGAGAAAACACCAAGGTGAGTGAAGTCAAGGAGTTCCCTCCACCTACCATCTGCAGAAAGTTCCTCAAACTCCTGGGAATGTTCCTCTTTTTTATTTATAGATTTGGGATGCATATTCTTCTTTTTTTTTGTGTGGAATTTGATAGATTGAATAGGTGGCAGCAAGGCAGGAGCTGCATTAGAAAGCAGGTTAGTTCATCTCTATAATTATGCAAACCATAAATAAAATGTGATACTTATTTTGAATTCATACAAGACAAGTATGAATCCAAATCACTTTCATGCATTGCAAAATACGATTTTAATCGTCGTGTATAATTATAAAATTGCTCGAGCTGCTGTCACATGTTCCTGGAAGTTGCAGACCTCACTCAGTGTTCTGGAAAGCTGTCAAGCTTATCCGTCATAGTACATATTGAATTCGGTGTTATGGGGACCTGCAGACCTGTAGTATACATTAAACACAGAAAGTTTTTTTAAAAGCCATACATATGTAGTCGTTTCAGATTATATATCTGGAAATGTATTACATAATCTGCACAGCACTGCAGAATGTGCTTGTGGTATGTATAGAGCTATTATTG